CTATCAGAATGGCTTTTATAAACAACAGCAACAAAATGTTGCCAACTGCAACAACATGGATGAACCTAGAGAATATTATGCTAAGTGAAGTCAGACAAAAAAAGACAAATACTGTATGATTTCATTTATATGTGACATCTAAAAAACAAAACAGAAACATAGACACTCATAGATACAGAGAACTGATGGTTAGTGGGGAGCAGGTGGTTTGGACAAAATAGTGAAGGGTCTTATGAGGTACAGTCTTTCAGTTATAAGACACAGGATGTAATATACAGCATAGAGAATATAGTCAATATAGTATAAAAATTTTGGTGACAATAATTGGATTATTGTGGTGACCAATTTGTCATATATATAAATATTAAATCACTATGTTGTACATCTAAAACTAATACTGTATGTCATTTATTCAATTTAATAAGAATGGAAAAAAATGAAAAGTGTAAACTCTTAGAAAACATAGGAGTAAATCTTCCTGACCTTGGATTTGCCAGTGGATTTAGATTTCACCCTAGAAGCAAAAGAAAGAAAAGACAAATTGGAGTTTAGAAAAATCATAATCTATTATCTGTGAAAGGACATTAAAAAGGTGAAAAGAGAACATATACAATGGGAAAAAATGTTTGCAAATCATAAATTTTTGTTGTCTTCTGGTTGGCTTTTTATTTGATTTTAGTAAGGAAAGAACAGGGAAATGAAGCTGATTTAAAAGTATCTACTGAAAATATCTACACCTACCCAGAAATTAAGTTAGTTAACTGGCATTCTTGCCTCTCCCCAGTTTTATTGAGATATAATCAAGATACTTCACTGTATAAGTTTTAAAACATAACGATCTAACTTAAATATATTTTGAAATCTAACATTCTATAGATACAAAAAAAAAAAAACTTGGGATGAGAAGTTTTAGATCTACTCTCTTAACTTTAAAATATACCATATGGCAGTGTTAACCACAGTCATCATGAGGTACATTACATCCCTAGTACTTATTTATCTAATAACTGAAAGTTTGTACCTTTTGGCCACCTTAATTCCCCCTCCCACCACCTCTGGTAACCACAAAACTGACCTCTGAGTATTCTGTTTTTTAGATTCCACATGTAAGTGAGAGCATATGGTATTTGTCTTTCTCATTTGACTGACTTCACTTAGTGTAATGCCCTCAAGGTCCATACGTGTTGTCGCAAATGGCAGGATTTCCTTTCTTGTGGTTGAATATTCCATTGTACGTGTGCACGTGCCACAAATTCTTTATCCGTCCATCCATCGATAGACACTTAGCTTGCTCCCTGGTCTTAGCTATAGTAAATTATCTTGCTGTGAACATGGAAGTGCAGATACCTCTTTAACATAGTGTTTTTGTTTCCTTTGGATGTATTCCCAGAAACAGAATTGCTGGATTATATGGTAGTTTGTTTTTGTTTTTTGAGGAATCTGCATACTATTTTCCATAGTGGCTTGAACCAACCTCAATACCAACAGTGCACAAATGCTCCCCTTTCTCCACATCCTTGCCAGCATTTATCTTTTGTCTTTTTGGTGACAGCAGTTTTAACAGGAGTGAAGTGTTACTTCATTGTGGCTTTGATTTGCATTTCCTTAGTTACTAGTGATGTTGAACATCTTTTCATGTAACTGTTGGACATTTGTATATCTTCTGCTCAAGAGATTCAAATCCTAACACCACTCAGCTTGTTTGTGGCTCTGGTCATTTTAATTAAAGAGAAAAAAGCAATCAACTTTTCATCCTCCCCTTTATCAGAGCCCAGTGAACTGAATTTGTGCTCCCATCCAACAAGCTCTAGCAACAAGGTGGCGCTAGTTATCACTGTTTCCTCTCCATTCTTCACACTCCTGTTTTAGCTGGGCTGAATGGGAGACTGAACTTCCACCCCTATCCATTGAAAATAGGGTGGGCATCAGTGCTCCACTTTTGCTTGAGTTGAGTCAGTGGGCCTCAGTAGGGAGCCAAGCATCCACCCCCACCTGGACCCTCAAGCTATGCCTAAACAGGGTGACTGCCTGCAAAAAGGGAGGTTAAGTAGGATCTAGAGTCTCAGAATGCAGTACACAAAATGTCCATGACAGAAATGAAAATCATTCATCGTATCAAAAACAGGGATATCTCAAATTTAATGAGAAGACAAAAGACATCAACACCAAGGTGACTGGAGTTATCTGGCAAGGAATTTAAAGCAATCATCATAAAAGTGCTTCAGTGAAAAAATTATGTACATACTTAAGCCAAGTAGAAAAAAACTCAAGGAAAAACATAAGGAACATGAAATATTTTGAAATGAAAAATACAGTAAAGAAAACAAAAGACTCAGTGGATGTCCTCAAGAGCAGAATGGCGAGTACAGAGGAAAGTATCGGTGAAATTGGAGATAGAACAAGATAAATTACCCATTATGAACAACAGAGAGGGAAAATATGCTAAGTCTTACAAGGGAAGAATAAAAAAGTTTGAGGCTGAAAAAGCACCCAAAGGAATAATGGCAGAAAATTCCCCAACTGTGGCAATAAATATAAGCCTACAGATTCAAGAAGCCGAGCAAACTCTAAACAGTGTAAGCCCAAAGAAATTCATGCCAAGATGCATGATAATCAAACTTAAGAAAACTGAAGACTAGAAACAATTCTTGAAAGCAGCTAGGGAGAAACAACACATTATGTATAGAAGAATGGTCCAAATGAGAGTTGTTTTTTTTTTTTTAAAGATTTTATTTACTTGACTGAGAGAGAGCACAAGCAGGGGAAGCAGCAGGCAGAGGGAAAGGGAGCAGGTTCCCCACTGAGGAGGGAGCCCAACACGGGACTTGATTCCAGGACCCTGGGATCATGACCTGAGCTGAAGGCAGCCACTTAACTACTGAGCCACCCAGGCTCACCCGAATGAGATTTATTAGAAAATGTGAAGGCCAGAAAGAAGTGGCACCTTTTTCAAGTGCTGGAAGATTGAGCAATCAGAATTTTCCATCAGCAAGAAGTATCCTTTAGGAACAAAGGTGAAATGAAAACCTACTCAGATGATGGAAAACTAAGATAATTTGTCACCAGGAGACCTACACTAAAAGTAGCTAAAGGAAGTTCTTTCAGCAAAGAAACATGGAACATGAGGAATGACGAAAGAACAGAAAAAGTGAAGATAAAGGTACATTTAATAGACTTATCTTTCTCCTGTAGAGCTTCCTAAATTATGCTAGATGGTTAAAGCAAAAATGGTAACACTGTCTCATATAGTTCTCAAGGTATACAGAGGAAATATTTGATACAATTATATAATAAAGTGAAGGGAAATGAAAGAATCTCAGTTGAGATAAGGTTTTGAACTGGTTAAATGTTGACACAAGTCGACTATGGAAGTTATGTATGTATAATGTAATACCCAGAGCAACTACTAAAAAATCCACAGAGATACACTCAAGAACTCTAAAGTAGAATTCTAAAACATGCTAAAGTAACCCACAGTAAGGCATGAAAAGGACAGAGGAACAAAATAGAGGGAATGACCAACCAATAAAGTGGCAGATTAATGTTCATAGCAGGTTTGTGTACTAACCAAAAATTGGAGGGTGCCTGGGTGGCTCAGATGGTTAGGCATTTGCCTTTGGCTTGGGTCATGATCCAGGGGTCCTGAGATCGAGCCCCACATAGGGCTCCCTGCTGAGTGGGGAGCCTTCTTTTCCCTTTCCCTCTGCCTGCCACTCCCTCTGCTTGTACTCTCTCCCTAATAAAAAAATAAAAAATCTTTAAAAAAAAATTGGAAACCCAATGTCTTTCAAAGGCTCAAAACTATGATATATCCATACCATGGAAAAATACTGGGAAATTAAAAAAAAACAAAAAATGAATGTATCTGGAACAGTGGGGATTTATCTCAAGGGAATCATGTTGAATGAAAAACACCAATCTCAAAAGGTTATATAGTATACGATTCCATCTATTTTTTAAGATTTTGAGAGGGTGAAGGGGAAGGAGGGGCAAAGCGTCTCAAGCAGACTCTGTGCTCAGCACAGAGCCTGACGTGGGACTCAATCTCAGGACCCAGAGATCATGACCTGAGCTGACACCCAAGAGTCCAACACTCAACGAACTGCACCACTCAGGTGCTCCAATTAAAACATCTTTTGAAAGTCCCAGTAGAAAACAGACAAAATATATGAATGAGCTATTCACAGAAAAGGAAATCTGAGTTCCATAAATATTTGAAATCAAGGTCTAAATATAAAACATTTTAGATGTGGTACAGGGAAGTGAGCTTTCATATCCACTGGGCACATACCTTACACATCTAAAATCACCAGCATCTGCACCCTCATTTAAGGATTCAGAAACCAAATAAAGCTTTGTTGAGATATGCTAAAATTCCGTTGCTCTGATGCAGGCATCTATACTTGGCTTGACACTGTCAGAACACTAATCATGTTTTACATGTATGAATGGTCTCTCCTCAGTTTGAAACCAAGCCAAATGTAGGTTATTTTCTTTTCCAGATGGAGAGCCAATTATCTCAACAAATGACTATTTCTTTTGTTTCTTCACTGCTTTCAACTAGAGAATTTGTTTGAAATGAAAATAAAAAATTTTAAATTTGCATCAAGTAAATGCTATGTATATACTGCTGGTTTTTATTATCTGAATTAATATTGTGAGGAGAGGGTAAGCATAGTATCATCTTAATTCAGTTTGGTTTGTGTATTACTAAAGATAATTTTCTATAAATGTTAGTATTTGATCATAATCCATTTTTAAGTTTTTCTATAGGTCGTGTCCTTCACCCATTTGATTCTTAGAGAAATAGGAAAATAAAGGCAAGACTACAAAAGATAGCAACATAATCTTAACAACCAGATTTGTTACAAGCATTATATTTGCTTTCATTCTTTTATTAAAGAAATGTTACAGATAAATATAACAATTCCATCTAATCCTCTCCCACTTCCTGAAAGGCAACCAATGTCATAAATGGATGTATGACCAATACACAGTACTGTTCTTTGCATTATTTTATTAATACAAATGTTACATCTTTTCATTGTACATTTTGCTTTTCTCTCAATATTTATATTGTGATCTATGTAACTATATGTTAAATTTGTACCTTCTCTCTAAATACTGCATTCTATCATGGCAATAATTACATGGTATTAGTCTATCCTTCTACTAATGAGAATTTGTTGTCCAATTTTGTAATACAAATCACGACGAACATAGAGATGTATATCTTCGTGCCTCTGAATGCAATACACCAAAGTAGAAAAGACTAATTCATATTTATGTGTTTTTAGAGTGATGCAGTTACTGTAAAGTAAAAAATCTTTTTCATTTTCATCAGAGTTTTAGAATTTTGCTTTTTATATTCTGGTCTTCAATCTACCTGGATTTTATTTTTGGATATGGTATAAAGTAGAGAGCTATCATTTTTGTTCATATGACTCTTCCATTTATTCAATAGGCCATTCTTTCTCCAGTGACTTCAATAGCAGTACCATACACAAAATTTCGATTATCCTTCTTCAATCCTTGTTTTGTTTCCACTGATTTATTTACTTATCAGGAACACATTGTTTAGACACACCAGCTTTAAATAAAATATGTGATGCCATCTGGTAGACTGTGTCTTCTCTTTTTTCACTTGTTTCAGCTATTTGTGGTCCTTTATATTCTCATATAAAATTTTAAATCAGTTTGTGAAATTCTTAAAATTTAGTGAAAACTTTGAGTGGAAGTACCTTAGAGACTTATGAATTTATATTTTTGAAAATGTGTTTTCAGACAGTGTTATTTTTCTCAAAATTTCAGGTCCTATTTTGTGCCCGTCAAAATGTTTTCTAACTTTATATATATGTGTGTGTCTTGTAATTACTGTTGTTTATCCTTAAACATTTTACATCAACACATTTTCAAATTAACTATTTCTTGTGTAAGAGGATATTTTTATAGTTTCTTTTTCCCCCAATCTTCTTTTTCTTAATGCAATGGCTAGGATAGGAGCTCAACTGTGATGCTGATATGCTGGTACAGATACCTCATTTCATATTTCAATAAGATTGCTGCATAAATATCAACAGAGGTCTATGAAGGTTTTTGATGTTCAGTTTATTCATTACACAATTTGTCATGTTGTGTAAGAATTCTCATGTTTCACAATTATGTGACTTCTTCCAAAGGCTTTTCACATTCATAGTTTTCTGCTCTAGAACCGATTATGTAATGTGAAAGGAGATGCTAATTCTGAAGGCTTTTCCATCTTCACACTATTCATAGTGTTTCTATTTCTACTGAGTATGAATTCTCTGGTGTCTAACAAGGTGTGACTTTTGGCTAAAAGCCTTACCACACTCATTACAATGATAAGGCTTCTCACCTGTATGTTTTCTCATATGAAGTGTAAGAGATGAGATTTGAGAGAAGGCTTTTCCACATTTACTACAGTCAAAGGGTTTCTCACCTGTATGACCTCGTATATGTATAGTAAGGGATGAGCTTTGAGAGAAGGCTTTTCCACATTTATTACATTCATAAGGTTTCTCACCTGTATGACCTCTCATGTGCACAATAAGAGAAGTTCTTTGAGAGAAAGCTTTTCCACATTCATTACATACATAGGGCTTCTCACCAGTATGACTTCTCATATGTAAATTGAGCAATGAGCACTGAGAGAAGGCTTTCCCACATTTATCACATTCATAAGGCTTTTCTCCTGTGTGACTTCTCAGATGAAGAGTAAGGGATGCAATTTGAGAAAAGGCTTTACCACATTCATTACAATCATAAGGTTTCTCTCCAGTGTGAACTTTCTGATGTGTAATAAAGTTTTGCTTTTGGCTGAAGGCTTTACCACATTCATTACATTCATAGGGTTTCTCTCCAGAATGAATTTTTTCATGGGCAATGAGATTTGATTTCTGGCTAAAGGCTTTGCCACATTCCTTACATATGTAGGGTTTTTCTCCAGTGTGAATTCTCTGGTGTCTAACAAGATTTGACATCTGAATGAAAGCTTTCCCACATTCATTACATTCATAAGGTTTTTCTCTAGTATGAATCTTTTGGTGTGTGATGAAGTTTTTCTTGTGGCTGAAGGCTTTTCTACATTCCTTACATTCATAAGGTTTTTCACCAGTATGACTTCTCATATGTACAGTAAGGGCTGAACTTTGAGAGAAGGATTTTCCACATTCATTACATTCATAGGGTTTCTCACCTGTATGAATTCTTACATGTATAATAAGCATGGAAAACTGAGAGAAGGCTTTTCCACATTTATCACATTTATAAGGTTTTTCTCCTGTATGACTTCTCATATGAAGAGCAAGGGATGCAATTCGAGGGAAGGCTTTACCACATTCATTACATGCATAAGGTTTCTCCCCGGTATGAACTTTCTGATGTGCAGTGAGGCTTTGCTTCTGGCTGAATGCTTTCCCACATTCATTACATTCATACGGTTTCTCTCCAGTATGAATTTTTTCATGATCAATGAGATTTGATTTCTGGCTGAAGGATTTCCCACATTCCTTACATGCATAGGGTTTCTCCCCAGTATGAATTCTTTGATGTCTAATGAGATTTGACATTTTAATGAAAGCTTTCCCACATTCATTACATTCATAAGCCTGCTCCCTACTATGAATTTTATGATGTTTAATGAGTTTTTCCTTCTGGCTGAAAGCTTTTCTACATTTTTTACATTCATAAGGTTTCTCTCCAGTATGAATTCTCAGGTGTCTGATGAGGTCCAAGGTTTGACTGAATCCTTTCCCACAATGATTACACTTAAAGGGGGTTACCGCAAGATGGGATGGATTAATGCAAAATGATTTTATAGGTTCATTATATTCAGAATGTTCCTTTCTTATAAAGATTCTACTATTATTATGACAGTCAAAATTATTATGTTCTAAACACTTCCCAAACAAGTCATATTCATAGAGATTGTGACTGGAAGGAAAAAAGTCCGAGTTAAGAGGAAATGCACTTGCAAATTTCTTACGACATTCATTGACTTTTTCTTCAGTCAGTGTTTTTGTGAATTTATCTTCAAATTGTGTCAAAAGTCTGTCCCGGATTTTCTGTTCATCAATTCCCCACATTTCTCCTAAAACAGATTGCAAATAAATAATCACTTGAAAAATTTTCCAATATTGTAAAATGAAGAAAATTTCAGAAAATATGCTATCATGGGATTGATTCTTGGCTTAAGGCTTAGTTTCCCATTATAAAGCAAATTTCATGTGCATAGATCTCCTATTTTCTAAACTTTAGGAGATCCCAGGAAAAATAGGAGTAGAGGAAAATAAGAATACAAATAGCTTTGATTGTGTTTAAAAATGGGATCTGAAACAAAATAGATGAACTGTTGGGTAAATAAAAGGGAGAATGCAGAATGTACAAATAAAGTAAGAAGATAGGAAAAAACAAAAATAGGAAGTTAAAAATCATTCTGTAGGACTCTGTTAAAATAAACTCTTACAAACTTCTCGATATAAATAATTTTTTGGAAAATGCAAATTACCAAAACTGAACCTGTAAGAGGCAGGAAACTTGTATGAACCAACTTCCACAAAATAAAGAGAAAAATAATGAAAAAGCAATCCCATAAAAACAAATCAGAAAGGCCCAGAGTGATTCACATGAGACTTTGAACACTTAGGGGACATTTGCTTTCATGATTTACAAAATGTTATAATAGAAAAAAGAGAATTTCCAATTTTTTGTGTGTGAAACATAACATTAATACCAAGACCTGAAAAAGATAACAACCAAAAAAGCAAACTACACACCAATTTTACTTATGCATACCAAGTTAAGTTTCTACCTAAAATATCAAAATAACCCAAAGGAAAAAAAAGTGACTTAGAACACATGAAATATAAGCTACATCATACTTGAGTAGGTGTTACTGTTTTTTTTTTTTACAGATACAAAAGTATGTTTTACTATTAGAAAAATCTACTTCTATAAGCAAATATATTAAAAGGTCAAAGTAAAAAACATCAAGTAATCATTTCCAAAGATATTTTTAAAAATGATAAAACTAAACATCGATTTTCCACAAAGAAACCTTCAAAAAAAATTGGGAATACTTATTTAACTTGCGAAAAAGTACCGTACAACTTAAACATGAGCACCATATTTAAGAAGAAAAATCCACCCCCAGCCAAAAAAAAGAAAAATCCCAAAGAACTGACATAAGTACTATCACCACTATTATTACAGTACTTCATAATGCATTAAGAGAAAGAAATCAGAGGTAGAAAAACATGGAAAGGAAAGATAAGATTAACATTTTTGTCAACAATAAAACAATTTACCTGCAAAATCAAAAGTGAAAAATTATTATAAAAGATAAAAACGTCATTAAAGTCACTATATATTGGAAATTAATACTTGGTTTCAATAGCATTCATATACACAAACACTATTTAGAAAACTTAAGACTATACTTAACAATCACAACAAAAAAATATGAAAAATATGGGAATCCAAGATCTTCAGAAAACTAAAATGCACACACAGATTTGACCAAATGGAGAAGTGCTACAGGTTGAACTGTTTGTACTGCAAAAAAGATATGTTGAAATCCTAATTCCCAGTACCTCAGAATGTGAAGTTATTTGGAAAAAGGGTCACTGAAGATGGAATTAGTTAAAATGAGGTCATACCAGAGTAGGGTAACTCATAATCTGACTGGTGTTCTTATAGAAAGGATGCAACATGAACAGACAGAAACATAGGGAGAACACTATGTGAAAATAAGGACACAGACTGACTTTATGCCATCAAAAGCCAAGGAATATCTAGGGCTACTAGAAGCTGAAAGAGGGAAGGAAGGGTCTTTCCTCTACAGGTTTCAGAGGGAGCATGGCCTGTCAACACCGTGATTTAGTTATTTCTAGCCTCCAGAACTGTGAGAATAAATTCCTGTTAGTCTAAGCCACCCAGTTTGGGGTACTTTGTTATGGCAGCCCTAGGAAACTAAGAAAAAAGGTATATCACATTGCTGGTAAAGAACATTCAACAGCAAAAATGACACTTATTCACAAGCTAACCTGACAAAGTAATTTCAATAAAAATGTTTGAAAATACAGGTACAGCTCAAAGGAAAATGAAGCTACGGGTTGCCACCTTAGAGAGGAAATGTGTAAGAGAAGAGCTACTTTTCAATATGTATCCTTTTGTACTTCAGAGATGTATTATGTATTTTAAAAAGTAAATAAAATTGTTCTGAATACTGCAGTAATAAAGTGAGAACAAACAATGGGCAGGTAAAAATTTGATCAAAGAGTTGGAACATAAAACTGGAAGGAGCCTACTTAGCATGACTGGATAGGGAGTAAGTACTGTGAGTAGAAGGGAAAACAAAGAGGGAGAAATTGAGCTTAAATATGGTATAATAAATACATGAATTTATTTCATCCCACCCCAAATCACACCAATGTGAGATAAAGAAAAATGCATAAACTAACAAAGACTATCAAAAAGGAGATGGAAGATCACTGTCTTAAGAAATGGAAGCAGAGGTGGTGTGGTCTGGGTGCGGAACTGTGCAGGTCACGTCTTTCCATCTGGATTCGTTCTTGGTGTGTGAGACCCAATTGTGCGAAATATGAATTGGCAAGTAAGGTCAACATTCAGACCTAGAGCAAGATGAGATGATGAAAAATCTTTGCAGCCAGTTGGGCCTGTGATTGCCCAGCTGCCTCGCGCTGAGCAACCTCTAGGGGAGGAGCCACCAACTAAGCGTCAGAATATTATATCTGATCAAGAGAAAAAACAAGGAGCATCTATGGTTCAAGGGTCTGCCCTGGAACCTTATCAAAAGGAACTGGCTGGTGAAAAGACTGGGCGTGAGCGTGGAGATGGTCCTGCTGTCAAAGGGAGGGGACTTGCAAATCTAGAGCCCCTTAAGATGCCAGGGGCAGGTGAATGGAAACCACAGGTTTAAACGAAGACAAGCTGAAGCCACATGGGCAGTTCTTGTGTTGAAAAGTGGCTAAAATTCTCTCAGTAAAGTTTTGCAGTTTTGTCCAAAGAAGAAAAAAAAAAGAAATGGAAGCAAAAATGCTATCAAGTCAGGGACGTGAGGCAGAGGATACAAAATAAAAGAACTGGCTCAAGCACAGAGTAAGTGCAAGCCTACATACTGAAGGATAACATTCAGTTCCCTGTTCCTGCTGAGCTCCAAGACTGGAAAATGGAGATTGTTCTCCCTCTCTGCCAGACTGGTAATAAAGAAAGGAAAATTCCTGTGCAGCTGTAAAGCAGATAAAGTTAGAGACTTGGTTGCAGATTGCAAATGTAGAAAAGAAGGCAGAATACTAACCTTTTGGGTCACTTAGGGGAAGAAGAGAAGTTCCTTAAGCAAATGATGTTGAAAAAGGTAAGATTAGGTTGTCAAAGTACCATCCAAAGAGAAATGAAAAAGAATTCCAAGGGCACAATCAAAATATCAGATGTGACACAAGACTCCATGTTTTAAGATGGTGGAATGCAAAAGCAGCTGATTCTACAAATAATGGGAATGAATTCTCATTGATTCTTGAATGATCCTAGGGGTGGCTATAACCCCAACTATAATAAATGAGTTAGTGTTGACAAATACAGTGAAGGCTGGCACAGGGGAAGAAGGATTCTAAAAGACAGCTGTTCATGCTGATCTTGGGCAGAACAAGCAGCTGACAGTGTCAAAATGGATATCACACCTTGAAGGTTAAAATTAATTATCCCATGATTACAACAATGAAATTTGGGAGTGTAGACTGGTTACAGGAGACTTGTTATCCCAAGATATCCCAGCCAGGACTGAACAAGGAAGCACTGTAACATTTACTTTTTTAGGAAGAAGTCTGTTGGGGTGGTAGTGTAAGATTCAGAGTTATGAGAAATGTTGCAGCTGCAGTTCCTTTTTGGATGAGGAAAAATAAAGCCTAAACATACTTTTATACATAAAACCATGTAGAATAAAGGGCTTCAATATGAAGAACAAATGCATTCATATACATCAAGAATTGGCAAACTTAAAGTGTCAGATAGTAAATATTTTCACACAATCTTTGATACAACTATTCAATTTTGCCATTATAATGTGAAAGAAATCCTACACAAGATGTAAATGGGTGTGGCTATGTTTTAATAAAACTTTATTTACAAAAATAAGTGGCAGGCCTACAAACCAGTTTGCTGATGATCCCTGTTGTAGACTGGAGTACTCATTTTCTTTCCCTAACATTACCCTTTTTTAAAAAAACAAGTCAAGGAAGAACTAGCCTACCACTAAAAATGAGAAGGTGCTGAACTCAGATCTATAAAAAGTATTACAAGAGAAAAAGCATAAAAGAAACATGATATAAAGCAGACAAAAGGCACCAGCTAAAACAATTATGGCACACAGTAAATGAAAATGTTGACTATTTCCATGAATGGAAAAGCTTAACGAAAATAAATCTATACATCAAGAGCTCAAAATATAAATAAATGAGGAAGAAACAATAAGAAAACAGAAAGGGATGGCAGAACCAAGGAAAGAAATGGAAGAGTAAAATAAAAACAAAGAATACCATGCAAGTTGGGGGGGAAAAGAGACTAGATAGTACTTTTAGTATTGAAGTTATGGTATGGTAACCTCACACTGAAAAATAAGATAATAGTAAAACAAATTTTGATGCGGGGTGCCTGGGTGGCTCAGTCATTAAGTATCTGCCTTCGACTCAGGTCATGATCCCAGGGTCCTGGGATCAAGCCCCGCATCAGGCTCCCTGCTCAGTGGGAAGCCTGCTTCTCCTTCTCACACTCCCCTTGCTTGTGTTCCCTTTCTCGCTGTCTCTGTCAAATAAATAAAACCTTTAAAAAAAAATTTTTTTTTGATGCATTACTGGGCTTATAGAAAGTAGCATAAATCTCCAAGAACACCACAATACTCTCCATCCCACACCTGAGTATAATACACTAAAAAATGAGAAAAACAAAAATAAGTATTAGCCAAAATCAGGTCTGCAAGAGGGATTTAGAAAGCAAGCTGGAAGATGAATCTGACTTGACTACCTAGGCAAATGAAAGCCCTATGAACTGAAGCATAAGCCTCAGGCCAGGAATAAGGAAAAAGACCAACTGAGGTTCCTACAAAAAGGACATTCAAAGAAGGTCAACTGGTCTTCACTTGGTAATGCCTGTTGGCACCTACCAGAAGCACATGTGAATCACCTTCAGAAGAATGCAACCCCCCAATTCCGGACAGTAAGATTATTGCAAAAAGGTTTAAAAATGCCGAATTCACAATCAGTAGTCATCAAGCATGTGAAGAATCAAATACAATAAAATCATCAAAAGAAGATATTTAACCAAGGACTTAAAATATTAGAATTGTCAGATACAAAAAACAGAAGAGCTATATAGAATATTTTTAAAGAAGCAAATGATAAAAACACAAACATGAACAAGCCACAGAAATTAATAGAAAGGGCCAGAAAGACGTAGGGGGGAAAGCGCCAAAAACAAACAATAAAAAAAAAACAACAACAACAAAAAAGGGAGGAATTTCTAAAAGTACAAAATAGTACTACTGAATTTTTTTAAGCAAATGAGATAAAAGATGAATAAACACAGCTGAAGAGAGAATGAGTAAATCTGAAGCTATATCTGAGGTTAATTACTGAGAAGTCAACATAGAAAGAGAGGCGGAAAATAGTAAAGAAAATGAAAAAAAAAAAAAGATGGAGGTAAAAAGATCTAGCCTCTATCTTTAGGAGTCCCAGAAGGAGAGTGTAGAGAGAATGAAGGAAAGCCAATATCTGATGATGTTGGCTAAGAAGTCTGCAGCGTTAGTGAAGACAAAAATAAGAGAACACTATGGGAAATTTTATACAAACAGATTGGAAAATAAAGATGAAACAAGTGGTTAAATATAACAGACTACCTCGGAACATCTGTATATGGTAAACACCTTTACAGATACAGAGCAAACTTAAATATTTACAGAAATTACGTTGTTCAACTCTGTACAAATTAATTTGAAAATCAGAATTAAGTGGGTAATTTTCCAGAATATAACCTATTACCAAAAACTAATGCCAAAAAAGACAAAACATCTACAAAGAACAGTTATAAAGTAACAAAGGATAAAAGCTATCAAGAGCATTTTCCTTCAATAACCCACAAGGTCCAAAAAGGTGAACAAGTAAGATAAACCAAAATTTTAAGGGAGTTATGTGTTATTATAAGTGTTTCAGAACAAGAAGAAATGGTTTTAAATTCTGTTTATGAAACCAGCGTAACAATGAATTCAAAGCCTGAAAAAGCTGGAACAATTATTTACATTCATGGCAGAAATGTGAGGATGAGTAATTACTAAGAAGTATGTAGACATAATTCACCTATATACATAAAGGAAAAAAATCATAGGATAATCTCTTGTAAGAAAAGATTATTTTAACTAAATGAACATTAAAAAAAACTTAAGGTGGCAAAAGTACTTCAAAGAGGAATGTCCAACTGTGAAAGAATACTGGAAAAACATACAACAGATAAAAGGCTAATCATAATCATATCAGTATATTCATACAAATTAAGAATTCAACAGAAAAGGGGGCAAAAGACATAAGCCGTTTATAAAGAAAAATATAGAGAGAGTTTAAACATATGAAAACATCCTTGACTTCACTCATAATAAAGAAAATACAAATTCCAAACTAAAATGAATTGTTTTCACCTATCAAATTGGGAAAGTTTTTAAAAATGCTAAGACTATGCTGGCAGAAATCACTGGTAGAAATAAAAATGTAGTTTCTTTGGAGGGCAAAAAAAGATTTGGCAATATCTACCAAATTAGAAATATACATGTGTGTGTGTTTATACATACTGTCTATATGTGTATGTATGTATACATATATGTATGTAGGTACACGTGTGTGTATAAACACATGCAGACAATTCTGTGCACAAATACATGACAAATGTAGCAGAAAACTATCAGAAAAGTATCACTGACTTTAAAACTTATTGAGTAAAACAGCTGCAGCCATTACTGAAGTATGAGAGCAAAAGCCAAAAATACAGTGGGAAATGTGACTACGAGTACAAAATACAATGCTAAGGCATTTATAACAGAAAGAAGAGGAGAAAGTCTTCAACATAAGTTTATTTGAACAACTGGTTATGTGAATATGTGAATGCAAAAGGAAAGGATCCTATGTAACAAGGTGGGGAGAGACTGAAGATGCTAATAATAAAATGATTGTCAAGGTAAAGCTGGAAATTAGGAAATGTTGGTATTTAGCACACAGGTAAAAAGGCCAACTAGTCCTTTAAGTTCTATGGAAAGAAGAATGTTATCTAGAAAAGACCATCTTAGGTTAATAAATTATTCACACAAATTATCACTTAAAAGTCTACAGTCTTTAGGAAAATAACTTTGAAAAACATTTCAGAGGGGTCAACTAGTCATGGATTAATCATTAAAGAGTCATGGCCCCTTCTCACCCATTTGTTCCCTCCCTAACTAACCTGGACAGTGTCTCCTTAACACTTCTTCCTCCACCACCCAAGGTTCTTCTTCTTGCTCCAACTTGAAAATCACATCAGGTTTGGTGAATGGACAGCCTGTCGAAAGGAAGTAACATAAAACGTGGGCATAAATACCAGGAACAAAAAAATCATTCAAGAATTGACACTGGCCCAGGGAAATCAGGCTTTCTGAAGGACAAGGACATGGTTTGTGGGGATACTGCCCCTGAAACATAAGCAAGGATGACCTTTTGTTTTGAAAGCTGCAGCACCCACATTCATGTGAGTAAAGGCACCTAAAGGCCAAATTCACTCTAACATTTAAAGGTTCCACACATTTCAGAAATTTGGGGGAAAAAAGGTACTTTACTCCCAGAATTTGAGTTATACAAGAAACTACCCTTACCCACTGTGATTAAGTTGTTATAGTTTTCTAGCATCACATTCCGGTACAGGTTCCTCTGAGCAGGATCCAACTGCTGCCACTCTTCCTGGGTGAAGTCAATAGCCACATCTTTGAATGTCACTGTTCCCTGTAACAACATACTCCTACTCAATCTGAAGTCATCCATTTTAAATGATGTGGACAAAACATACTGAACCATGTTCTCATAGTATCCAAAGGTAAGAGGTTATTTAAAAATTTACCTGGTTTTGTTATTTTCTAAAAACAACAACAACATATTAACAATATTCTGTCAGTTTATGTTCATTCACAGAATCAGGAAGCACGTATCTTTAATACCTACCATGGGTTAAAGAGATCTCGGGCACCAATTTATACTGAGTGTGGAAAAGGGAGGAATATACAACTTTACTCAACTGGTTTGGGAACTCACTAGATGCCTGTGACTCACTGAGGCAGGAGAAAATGAAAACTGGATTTGGATGGAAGCAGAAGCAGGGAGAGAATGAAATGCACAATTTGAAGTACAGTAGCAGCTGGATGTACTATTCATTAGATCAGGAGAAATCTAGAAAAATGAGGCTGTATTGTTCATAAGCCTACAATAAGTGTCTGAAGCCATGAAAATGGGATATGAGTGTTAACAAAGTTCCCATATATTAAAAAGAACAGACAGTAGCATACAAATAACAGATAAATTAAAAAAAAAGATTCATTAAGAAAGTTTTTTAAATGGTCTGAACTAGAATTACAACTAGAACCATGAGAAAACAGTATCAAGAAAACTTTAGAATAAGTTCCAGAAATGAGATGCTGGTGACAAGTTTCATGAGAGCAATATGATTTATATATAGAAATATAATGCAATCTTCCTAATTAAAAACTGAAACATTCAAAAGAGTATAAACATAAGAAAAAAAATCTTCAACAGCAACAGAACAAAGATCTGTCCAAATTTCCTATGCTTTGAGGAATTTCTAGGAGAGACTGGGTGAGATAAAAAGAAATCACCAGGAGCTAATTCACAATCAGTATTTTTAAGAATTTTTTTGTAGGTCTAGAAGGACCCTATGAGGGGCGCCTGGGTGGCTTAGTCGGTTAAGCATCTGCCTTTGGCTCAGGTCATGATCCCAGGGTCCTGGGATCAAGCCCCACATCGGGCTCCCTGCTCAGCAGGGAGTCTGTTCCTCCCTCTCCCTCTGCCTCTCTCCCCAGCTTGTACTCTCTCAAATAAATAAGATATTAAAAAATAAATAAAAGGGGGGCCCTGGGTGGCTCAGTTGTTAAGTGTCTGCCTTCACCTCAGATCGTGATCCCAGGGTCCTGGGATCGAGCCCTGCATCGGGCTCCCTGCTCGGCGGGAAGCCTGCTTCTCCTCTCCCTCTCCCACCGCCCCTGCTTGTGTTCCCTCTCTCGCCGTGTCTCTGTCAAATAAATAAATACAGTCTTAAAAAATAAATAAATAATAAAAAATAAATAAAAGGACCCTATGAACATGAACATCTACTAACACAAAGGGTTCAGAGTAGGCTGTGGGACTGAAATCCTCTTTTGGAATCCTATCTAATAAATATCAAGGTCTTTGAAATAAACTGGTTTAAGAAACCAAAGGCCATATGCCTGAATAAGACATCCCCCATTTGTTTTCCTGCCTCAACAACAATTTGGTTTCCATCTATGGACAAAAGTACCTTTGTGGGAGCTGTTGGATAGAGCACCATACACCAAGAGACTAAGGAGGAGACTTGCCTACTCATGCATTGGGTAACAGACATATAAGAGCTCAACCCCAGGTGTGGATTCTGTAATGATCCATGAACCAACTCTACCCCTCTTGGTTGTGGTCCAGAACCCTTGGAAAAAGTGGTCTTAGACAATCATTCGTGGGTAAGAGAACTTTTGTGGAAATCCAGTCCGCAGCAGAGAAGTTCCAACGTATTGCTGGGAGCAAAAAATATGAGTTTGGACCCATCACAGAGGGTAAGAGGAACAGTTTGATTTTACTCATCACCTGTCTCCCAAGGCAGCACAGCTTAGGACCATGAAAGATGTTCATGGTCAATGAACTTATCTGTGGAGGAAAGTGAGAATGTATGAGTGAGCACTCGGTTTCCTAGCTGTGTGGGACAGTGCCAAAGTGGTTCACTTCTTCTCACCCCATCTAGAGTACTGAATTCTGAGCTGCATGACTGGAGGGTAGAATGAATCCGGTTGAAGAGGAGATAGGAGTCTCATAAGGCATTAAAGGGATCCAGATCCTACTGTGTTGCAAACTCCACTAAGAAGCCTGCTCATGAGCTGCTCCATGTACTTTGCCTAGAGATCCCCTCCCCCATGGGCACCCTCAGAGCTCTGCAGACCACACCCCTACAAACTCCCACCCTGTAGCAGAGAGCTAGTCTGAATGCAGGCCAGGGAGAGACCACAAACGTGAGCTTTAGTGCCACCTTTGGAAAAACAAAAAAGAGGCTGTAAGCAAGCACCCTGGTGTGCTACAGGATCAAGAAAAGGCATACAAGCTTAAGAATTCTGCCACAAGAGAGAGCAAGAATAGTGGGGCAGGTGTATTGATAGAAGTTCTGAGAAAGCCTCAGAATCCCTAGCAGTGCTGATGGAAGTTATTTCTCTCCTGAAGGTAGTTAACGACTGGAGGAGGGGAGAGCTACTTCAAATGCAAAGATAGCAATGCAAAACTTCAAGAACCATGAAAAAATCAGGAAACAAGATACTGCAAAAGGAACAAAATAATCTACCAGTAACTGATCTCAAAGACATGGAAATGTGATTTTTCCAATAAAGAATTCAAAATAGCTGTTTTAAGGAAACTCAAAGAGCTATGAAAAAATGCAGAAACATGATATTAGGAAAACATACATGAATAAAATGATAAATTTCACAAAGAAATCATAAAAAAAGAACCAAACAATGGAACACTATATCAAAAACTAATGATGTAATGTATGATGACTAACAATGTAATAAAATTAAAAAAAAAAAAAAGGACCAAACAAATTCTGGAGCAGAAAAATACAATAAATGAAATGAAAATGCACTAAAGAGCATCAACAGCACAATGGATTAAGCAGAAGAAAGAATCTGTGAGTTAGAAGACGGGAAATATAAATTACCTAGTCAGAGGAGAAAGAGTGAAGAAAGTCTATATGAATTATGGTGCATCATCAAACGAAACTACATTCACATTATGAGAATCTCAGAATGTGAAGAGTGAGAAAAAGGGCAGAAAGCCTATTTAAAGAAATAATGCCTAAAAACTTCCAAATCTGGAGAGAGATTTTGATATCCAAGTTCATAAAGCTCAAAGGTCACCAAACTCAATTCTAAAAAAATCTTCTCCAAGACACATAAAAATCAAAAACAAAAAGAATCTTAACAACAGCAAGAGAAAAGAAGCTTGTAACTTACAGAGAACCCCCATGAGGCTAACAGATTTTTCAGCAGAAATCTTACAGGCCAGGAGAGAGCAGGATGATGTATTCAAAGTACTGAAGGAAAAAATCCACAAACCAAGAATACACTATCCACCAAAGTTGTCCTTCAGAAATGAAGAAGAGAGAAAGATTTTTCCCAACAAGAGTTGAGGGAGTCCATCACCACTAGAACGATCTCCCAAGAAATGCTGAAAGAAGTTCAAGCTGAAATGAGACACTAATTAGTAACATGAAGACAAAGGTATGTAACACACTGGTAGAAGTAAATATATAGATGAATTCAGAAAACTTTAATACTATAATATGGTGGTGTGTTAAACACTTAACTCTAGTATAAAGGTTAAAGGACAAGAACATCAAAAACTAATGACGTACTTATATGTTGGCTAACTGAATTTAAATTAAAAAATTTAAGAAATAACGATAGCTACAATAGCTTGTTAATGAATACAATACTGCAACATCAAAAACATTAAAAAGGGGAGTAAAAAATAGATTATTTTTGTCTGTGATTAAAGTTAAGTTGTCACCAGCATAAAATAGAATATCCATAAAGTGTTTTATGTAAGCCTCATGGTAACCATAAAGCAAAACCTACAGCAGATACACAGAGGATAAAAAGAAGGGAATCAGAGCATGCCATTACATAAAATCATTCACCAAAGCAAACAGCAAGAGAGAAGAAAACCACAGGAGAACTAAAGAATAGCCAGAAAACTATGAATACAATGACATAAGTTCTTACCTATTAATAATTATTCCAAATGTGGATGAATTCTTCAATCAAAAGTCATAGAGTGTTTGGATGGATAAAAAATAAGACCCAACTACATGCTGTCTACAAGAGACTCACTTCAGTTTTAAGGACACATATAGGTTCAAAGAGAAGTTACGATAAAAGATTCTCCACACATGCAGAAACCTAAGGTAGCTATCCTTATATCAGGCAAAACAGACTTTAAACTAAAAACCATTAACAAGAGACAAAGAAGGTCATTATAAAATGATAAAAAAAAATCAATTCATCAAGAAGATATAACAATCATAAATACATATACACACACATTGGAGCACCTAAATATTAAGCAAATATTAACATCTGAAGGGAGAACTAGACGACAATGTAAGAATTGTAGGGGGCTTCACTTTTAATCATGGATATATCATCCAGATAGAAAATCAAATAAGGAAACACTGGAATTCAACTATACTTTAGAACAAATAGACCTAAAAGACATACAGAATATCCCATCCAAAAGCACCAGAATACATATTATTCTCAAATGTACAATGATCATTCCCCAGGACAGATCTTTTGATAGGTCAGAAAACAAGTCTTAGTAAATTGAAGAAGACTGAAATCATATGAGGTATCTTTTCTGACCAAAATGGAATGAAACTAGGGAACAATAACAGGAGGAAAGCTAGAAAAATCACAAATAAGTGAAAATTAAACACCACACCCAACAATCAGTGGGGTCAAGGAAGAAATCAAAAGGGAAATTAAAATATACCTAAAAGAAAATGGAAACACAATATACCAAAATGTATGGGATATAGCAAATTCGTACTAAAATGAAGTTAAAAGCAATAAATACACACATTAAGAAAAAAACATAGATCACAAATAAACATAACTGTACACTTCAAGGACCTAGGAAAAAGAACTAACCAAGTT